ACCATAGCTACAGAAGATGCCCTCAAATAGTCACGCTTTAAGTGACTTTCCTTTTTATATGTTTTTAGACTTCTATATTTTTTCTTCTAAAAATACTCTAACAATTAAGTTTATTGGTAAGAATAAAATAAAATAAATAAAATATAATTAAATATATGTTGCACAACATTCACTAAAATGTGTTCTTAGTAAGCAGAAGTTCACCTTTTCCTGAATCTTTCCCTCTTCCTATCAGGAGACAGAAACATAGCATGTGAACCATGTATCTTAACACAAAAATTTAAATTCTGAATCAGAAAAGGTACTGAGCAAAACTCCAAAGAATAAAATGTAACTTCTAGACTTGCTGTTTTATCATTTCCCTCTTCTAGTCTGGAGAAAACAAGCAGAACTGAAGCTGGTAGTGAAGTGACTTACCAGACTGGTAGAAAAACAAGGATTAGGAGTCCCAGATTCCCACTCAAGCACCATCTGCAGTGAGCTACATTCCTTGATCACTCCTAATGTCTTTGTTCAACTTAGAGAAGACCTGTAACTGAATTCTCTTGGTTAACTGATGTCAAATATTTCCCAACCAGGAATTTATGACCAATATGATAATAACAGATTACTCTGAATGATGAAAAACATGAGAAAATTGGAACTGGGACAAAGCAGTTGGACAAAGGACAACATTAAGAATTCATATACTTGTGCTGATTTTGAATGCTGCTGATACAAATCCCTCTAAGTCACTGTTCCACTGTCCTACTACAACTAAAGGAGTTTACTTGTCTAAATATGTTTGTAGGAGGGTGCCTCTTTCACATAGATGCTGGCAGCATCAGTGCTCAAGCCAGCCTGTGCAACAAATGGTCCCCATTGCTGGGAACTTCAGAAATGCTCCAGTATTTCAGCATTTATTACCACCTTACCAATAGGAATGTTGTGCATTGCTGTGTACCAGTTAGTCTCTTACATTACCCTCACCACAAGATTGGCTAGTGCAGAAACAAATCCATTTTTTTTTGTTGTTGTTTTTGTTACAAAATCCAGATTTGACCACATAGTTACAAAGGATAATGAAAACCTTTGGAGACAGAGTAAAATCATGTTTAATGTAGTTATCCCAGGGTCTAGTAAATGGTCTTTTCCTCAGCACCTCTTCCTCTCTCTGACAAGCTGTTCGCATTTAATTTGTACAGGGCACCATTGAGTCTTGATTAGTTTAGTCGAATAGCCACCTCACCACCTACATCCAAGCAATTGTTTTACAACAAGAGATTCCCTAAGGCCAGGCAGCAGAGAAATCCTTAGTGTATGGTGCAAAAGAGTTGCTGAAACTGCTTCAAAAAGAATGAATTAGCAGATAGTATGTTGGTAAGGTGACCCAAAGCCACAAGCAGCAAAATGCATGGGAATGTGAGAAGTTGCTGGGTTGTACTAGTTGTCCATCTACCCCAGTATTTTGTCTCAATGGCAAAAGTAGATGTCATTCACGGACAGCATGTGAGCCTAGTCATTATTTGCAGTTCATTTCTTTCGTATTCCCTCAGCACACAAATAGAAACACCAGGGATTTCAGAGGGCACCTCCCTGTCTAGTCCTTCTATACCTCTTTATGGACTTGTTGTCCATGGATTTTTCTGGCTCTTGTTTTGATGACCATCTTAGGGTCTGCCTCTGCAACCTCTTGTGGTAGCAAGTTCTGGAAATTCACTATCCAGTGGGTAAAAGGCTTGACTGCTTCTTTGCTTTAATTCAGGCTCCTACTGTTTTCACCGAGCAGCCCCTACTTCTCATAATGTAGAATTTTGTGAACAACAGTTCAGCATTACCTTTGTGTCAGAGCTTCACTTGTCTGCCACCTTCCCCCTCTCTTCTCCAGACCAAAGAGAGGTATGACTTCAATTTATTGATTTGTGAACAACTCTTGATTAGTCATACTATCAAAACCACCTGTGTTGTGTGCATTTTATTTAAGTAGAGCATTTTGAACTTCTTGTAATACAATGCTCTCAGCATCTTTGAGAAGCCTTAATTAAGAAAAACCCACACATCAAGTGTAATGTTCATATTTCCATTTGGAAGCGCGAGGGAGAACAGAATGCTTGAGCATTTCTAACTATTATTAAAGATGCCCAAAGAAATAATATTGTTTATGTTGTGGGATTTGAGACTAGGTAAGCAATCATGAAATTAAGGACTGTACTATAATGTCTATGGAAGGTAAGAAAAAATTTAAATTGTAAGGTCATGTGGAGCCCCTCTCAGTATCAGCACCTCAGGATCAGGAAAGACAGTGGGGATTAAGATGAAACTGAGAATGAAAGGCCTGATTTCTCTTGGTTCTTAGTGAGATCTGGGAGCCTAGATGTCTCCTTCTCCAGGGAAAAATCCTTCACCATATAATTTCCAGAATTTAAACATCAATTTAAGTAGAATTTAAACACCATTATAATATTGGTGCTGTGTAACTTGGCATGGCTTTTCTTTCAGAATGTATTTTAAAATACAGAAAAATTCGAATAGGCTTTATGACCGTACACCTTCCTATGCATCATTATACCATCTGCCCACGGTATCTTGTTCCTGCAGCCTTAAAAACCTACTTTCATAATCCTCATACCAACCAAAGCAAGGTATCTCACTGCATTTTCTTTCTTTTATCCCTATTGTTGTAGTGTATTTTCATAGAAATACTTAGCCTGTAGTTACTAGGGACAAAAATGCCTCTGAGTGCCATGTCCTATGAAGTCTGGGGACCAAGGTCAGGTCACTGACTATTTCAATATCCATGGCTCCATACCTGTAGCCGAGTAAATTATGCACAGAGTGTTTATTTCAGGCATTTTCTTGCTCATCTCAGAACAGTTGTTTAAAAATGTCTGTTTTCAGGGTGAAATGTTTTAAGCCTTATGTTTGACTGAGTAGTAGAAAGTAGAGATAACCTTCCCATTTCAACTCCAGCTCCAGGGACCTGCCAGGCCTCTCTTTCCCAGCTTTTGCTGACCCCTGAAGCCCTGATAGACACAACCAGCTGAGCTTGGCTGGTCCTTTGTCCTGCGTGTCAAAGGAATAATCACACCCTAACTGCTTACTCTGCCTTTGGCCCCTCCTGTGTCTTGCTCCCCTTCCCATGTTCTGCTTTGCACTGTAATTCCCTGGCTTTCTGACCACTGCCTCTGACCTCCCTTTCGTTTTGCCCTTCAACTTGGTACAACTGTATCCAGTTTCCTGTCCTTTGGCTTGGCTTCTGGTCCTAGGTCTTGCCTAGATGCTTGCCTTGTATATCTTTACTCTTCTAATGCCTGACTTTGACTTGCCTGGCTCTTTCTATTGATTGGGCTCTACACCCAACTTCAGTTATATACTAAGGTATTGATTACTTGTTAAAGTCCCAAAAGAAGACAAATTTTGGTTTTAGTTTCATTCTTTCTTTTTGCTACGTTAGGAATATAACTCTCTGCCTTCAAACTGAGATAGGAATGATCAGTTGTCTCTGAGAGAAGGGTGTTTCTTTTTTTGCAGGGTGAAATCGTATGTCTCAGATTCAGCTCTCAAATATGGAGTGAAAAACATGTTCCCAGCCATTAACCTGAGACCCTTGATTCTGCCAGAAATTCTCTGGCCAACAGAGTTCAGCAGCAAGCACCTTGACAACAGAGAGGTATTAGTTCAAGTGAAGACCTGTATTAACATGTTACCTCACAGGGACTTAGCCAGGAATGGATGCACTGATGACTTTTTACCATGACAGAGAGATGACTTAAACAATACTCCCAAATTGTGGAACTATTTTTTGATCATGTGTTCACAAATGCCTGTTCCAAATCTTTGAGAAAACTGTTAGCATGTGAAGCAGGACCTAATGTAGTACATCCAAAAATGTTTCTTGCTTTGAGGCAATAAGAAGAAACAAGCTGACTGATCATATTCTACTGTTCTCTGTGCCTGGTACACCAGCAATTTCGTAAAGCGGCAGTCAAGAGAAATGTTACAACTACCATTCATGAACATACACTTTATCCTTGTGTATAGCCTATATTCAGGAAAATATTTAAGAAAGAGCTTGAGTGCTTTCCTGACAAGAGATATTTCCAACCAGGGCCTCTGTTCACATCAGTTCTTTCACTAGGGCAAGAAAGAAAGCTAAGGTAATCTGAAAAGTTCACTTTAAATCTTAATTTTCACATTGCAGTTTTCTGATGAGCCCAATCCCCATTAAGCTACATATTTTCTATGCATGGCTTAACAATGACCTGTTTTTTAAACAGTAAAATTCTATCCTCTTTTTTTTTCTTCTTTGAAGAGGGAAAATATATTTTTTTGCCTTTTCTTTTGTTAAAAAGTTTTTAAAATCCGGTCTTGTAAAAGGTTAGTTCTACAATTCTGTGATTCTATGTGCCTCTGGAAGCAGGAGAGCATTTACACAGGGCTCAATCCTGGTCAATGTCTCCACACACCCAAGTGACAGTCAGACCTTGCCATGCTTGTTTGAGTATGCCAACAAATCTTCATCACTTTAGACACCCCACAGAATTTGGAGGAAGAGTAAAAGGGTCATCCACTAATAATCTCTAAAAATATGAAAAATAGAATTCTCAGCTCATGAAGGGCCATCAAATGTGAAAAGATAAGCAGAATTAAAGAGCATAGATTTTAATTTGATTTGTTGTATATGGACCTCTTCTACTTTCACTGAATTTAGAATAAACATTTAAAAAATATAACCATATAACTGAAAAACAAACTTTGCTACTGTGACGCCATATACATACAGATGGTGAAGTTTTGCTAAAGGCAGAAAAACCCCCAAACTCTAGCACTTAGATCCCATTGTCTTCTAGAACTTGGAGGTTTCATGCTTAGAAAAAATGGCCAATTTCTGAATAAAAAGAACTGGAAAGAGGGAATTACTTGATTTTGTTTCTCTGTGCTGAGCTAATGAATATTTTACTGAACGTGGGAAAGTACTAATCTACTTTTTTATTTCATGAAAAGCAATCTTGAAAACTCACTAAAGACGACTGGAGAATTACAGTGTCCTCTATCCATCCAACTCTGTTTTCCACTACATTCCCATTTTCTTCCACCTTTCTTTCCAATCTGAAAAGAAGGGACTGATGCTAAGCTCCGTTCTCTAGTGCTCAATTAAAATTCATGATGTGAACACCTAAAAGTCAAAATGCAGAAGTCTGCCCTCAGTTCTTACTCAAGCATAACTGTTGTTAACTTTTGATAAATTTGACTCATTTTTGTACCATTTTATGTATTTTCTTCTAAAATATTTAAAATAGTTTCCTTCATGTAGGATATACAGGATATTGGTATTTACCTACTTCACTGGTGATGTTGAAGTGTAGTGCTATTTGAGGTGGCACGAAAGAAGCCATCAGATTGGTGGTTTTGTCATACATGAATAATGTATCCCATCCAACTTCATTCTGACAATATCATTAGACTAAACTACGATATATAATTTTTATATATTCTAAGTATTTTTTAGCTACATGTGGTATTCAGTCCAGCAAAAACCCCCACCCCTAAATGACATAATGACATTACTGAGGGTGGTTTCAATGAAAATAGTACTTACAAAATATAGCACAGTAGTCACTATATATTCATTCCCTCTCCCATCAATTAATTACATCACCCTTTAAGACAGACATATAATGTAATTAGAGATTTGAACAGTTCACAGCCAGATCACTTAAAGTAACATTGTTAATGGGCTTTAGAAGTTCTCCCTTTAATATTGCCAGTGTTATAACTTCTAATTACCTTAATAATTAGGGCTGTGTCATTCATGATTGAGGTAACAGTTGCTAACACTAATGGGTATGAGAGGTCTCTCACAAGGCATGTTTTGATGTTCTCGTCCAGTTGCTTAGGGCAGGCAAGAGCTATTTGTCCTTGGAAACATAGTAGTTGCTATGTGGTGGCCTGGGCAGAGGCATCCTTACTAACCACTTTAATAGCACCACCACCACTGCTGTTTTCATCAAGGAGTGACTGTACGAAATGCTCTCACCATGCACTGCCCTTGAAATGCAAATGTGGCACCTATGGATGAAATCTGTTGAACTCTAATTGCAATTGTTGTTATTGCTACAAATAACAGCATAAACTTGAATGTGAAACCTGACTGAAATCCAAAGAAATCCATAGGTAGCCCTTCCCCATTCCCAACCCTACAAATTAGCAATGGTTAAGGTTTTCAAAGTCTAAGATGACACATTTGCTTAGATGTGTTTCATTGTGCCTGAGTAATTCTAGGTTAAAGTCTTAAGGGAAGCAATTGGAATTTGCAGCTATTTTGTCGAGATATTACACTAGTATCACCATTTCAAATCCATTTTTTCTAAAGACTTCTGGCACATATACTGAAACCAAGCCTTTTATGAAGAATAAGAGTCAAAGGTTTCTCTGTATTTGGCTGAAACCAGAAATTCAGAGATAAAAGCCTGTTTGTTGGCCATGCTGCCCTTTGAGGCTTAAGAGTTCATGGGAGAGTAGAGAACTCAGGATTTACTCTACTGTCTTCCATACCTCAAATTCACCATGATTTGTGTAATTAGAGACCAAAAAAAGATTTGGAGAACTATCAAACACAAGTAGATACAAAAAAAGAGCAACTTCATTGGACAGACATTCACCAAACTGGTTTTAAGCATCCAGTTAGTCCCTGAGGACTAGGAACAGAATGACCTCTCTTATTTACTTTGCTTTTTGGAACTTTATTACATGTATAATACGATAGTGATGGAAAATATTAAATCCCCAGGGGTCAGGGGAGCATTTATTTCTTAGATTTGTTTGTTTTCCAGACATAGATTCAACTGATTTCCTGACTCAAGTTAAATTACACTGAACAGGTAAAAGGGCAACTCTGTGATACAGAGAAGAATACCCTAGGGATTAAAAAAAAAAAAAAAAAAGACTGATTTATCCCAGTCACACTAAAAAACCCCAGGAACTTAACATTTATTAGACTGGACATGAAGGACATACTCATATAGATAAGATACAGATGGTAAATTAGCCCTTTAAAGTACAACATTGAAATCAATACACTACACAGACACCACAAAGACACTCCCATTCCTTTCCATCTAAATTAAAATCTAGGTAAAAAACAGAAACACTCCCCCCCCAAAACCAAAACAAAACAACCACCAAATCCCAAACTCATGTAGGTACTTGAGCAACAGGTGTGAGAATTTCCCTCTCTCATCAGGTAAATATATAAAGTATTCATGGTTGAATCAGATTTAATTTCTATAGGCTTCCGTTATTAGTTTGGCAAGTATCCTTTCTTCTTTTGTGCTCCTTTTCAGTGAAAACAAAATAATTATAAGAGTACTAGCTTTGTCTGCTTTGACCTGACAAAGTATTACATACACTCCTCTACATACAAATACAATCTCATCAAGGAAAGAATTTCCATTAGGAGTGATCATATTTCCTGTTGAGTACAAGATATAATTCCAGGATTCAAAAATCCCTATATTAAAGTAATCTTGAAGATTTTTACATCAGCAAGTCACAAAATACACGAATGAATATTCACATACGTATATGTGTTTGTATACATTGTATGTGCATATATATGTATGTAGATACACACAACTCACACATATTATAGTGACACTAGTGCTAAACATTTTGCTCGTACATTCCTAAAAGTTTTCAGAAAATCTTTACTAACCATTTGGCTACAGACCTATTTCACTAAATTTCAGAGCAGTCATGACAGAAATTCTACAGCTATACCCTTAACTAAAAGACAAAAGCTATGAGATCTTAGCTCACATGAAACTATGCCAAGATCATTTAAGGAGCCCAAAGCTACTTGTAATGCAACACAAACAACAAGTAATTCAAAGTACTCTATGGACACATCCTGTCATAGAGGAACTTGCTACCAGATTTCCAGGTACACTAACAACATTGGCTATTTAATGGGCCATTTGCTGTGAATTACTGTTACGTTAAATGCCTAAGCAATTTCCTACATGCATAATCCTACGTCATAACTATATGCATATGAATAAGGGTATGCATGTAACAGTACTTCACATTAACACTTTATGTTTGCATTTTAGAACAACATTTAGTGCAAGTATTTTTGCTAGACTCAGACAAATTAAAGAAAGTAACCTGGTGACTCCAACTTGGCAAAACACAGGTGCACATCATATGGAAGAAAAACACCCTTTAGCTCTCGTACTAGGAAAACTTTTATCTTCGTGCATTAAGCCCAGCCACTCCATTCAGCAGAAGAGGGCATAATGGGGCTACCATGCCTCTGTCTTCTAGGTGTATCATCCTCTTTTCTGTCACAACTCCCATCCACTCCAAAATACGCCTTTGTCTAGTACATCCTATTGGTACACATTAAGCTTTTTCTTTTCTGTCTCACCCTGTGGAGACTTAACACAAAAAAATCAGCAGTGTCTCACTTGTGCGCACACAGGCTTTTATAGCTGTTGGAATGTGTGCTTCACATTGCACCATACAGTTCTGCTGCCCTCAAGTCACTCAGATAGAGGCCTGGCCCAATTATGAAGTGATATCCAGACATCTGCATGCCTGTTCTTCCTTCCAGTGAAAACCAGAATGTGATAGAGATGAGCTATTGACATAAGACAAATCTCTATAAATACCTGTTTAAAAAACCCCAATAACAGTAACGTCAGTTCCAGTGTCACACCTTGCCACCAGAGATCAAGAGAATTTCATGTGACTTCACATGAAATGTGACACCTTCTCACCTAGCCCTAGGAGCAAGCTGTAGCTAGAACGTGCATCCAGATGCAAAACGAGAAAACAAGCTCCAGGTCTCAAATACAGGCTGGGTGAAACTGCTTTTCCTGCCTACCCATCTCTCAATTAACAAGCTTCCTCTGCATTCAGTTCTTAACCCTGACATACTAATTTCCTCTGGCATCCAAGGTACAGAAATTAAGAAAACAAATGAAACAAATGTAAGATAAATTCTCCCATATTTCAAAAGGATATAAAATTCATGTTTTCTATCACAGGTAGCCAAAAGTTTATTGAATTAGAACCACTTTCAACTACTAATATATTACATACATAACTCACTTAAAACCTTTTACATACATGGAGGATAAACGCTTAAAAATTTCCATTCAGTGTTTTCCTGGAAGAAGCAGTGCTGGCTAAGAGCTTCCCACTAGGAAAAATTAGGATATCTGAAACTGCCAATTCTGTTGATCATAGTGAAGACAAGTATATTCAAACACACCTTTCTAAAAAAGCCCAGCAACATTCTTGTCAATGTTACACTCTGTCACTAGAGAGTAAAAGGAGAAAAAAACCAACTTCACTCTAAGCTCTGCCGTGATGTTTTCCCAACTTCTAAAAAGGCACAAGCAATATGTCCTTCTGATATTAATATAACCACACTACCAGTTTTAATAGTGTTTAAGGTGAAACTACTTCATTTCATTGTCCTCGTGCATGAAAAAATCATCACTGGAGTTACTAGAAGGCTGAATATCTGCATGTTTATGAAGAAAGGAGTGATGATTAAGATAAAACCATCCCCTTACTGATCTCAGGCTGCTTTTTCAGATTAAAGAATAAAATTAAAGAATATTATAACATTAGAAAACTCAGAGCTTGCTTAGGGTGAGTGAGTTCATGATAGGCACAAACTAATAACTACAGCCATACAACACATTCCTACTGACAAATCACTATACTACAGGTGCATGCATAAAGATTAACATAAACATACTGCTATTTGCTATGGGATTTCTATTTTTCTACTTATACTGTTCTTTTTGAAAATAAATATATTACTCCATCAATAATTTCAATATCCTTGAAGAATATTCGAGAACTGAATACTGTATACACATGCTTGTGTGCTACATGAAAATGTTGTAGGAGTCAACTGCAATTCTACAGGTCCATTTCTTTGCACAGTTTCAGCAGTTCATTGCTAAATAAAGCCCCATTTCTGTCCCTTTCTATCATATGATTTAGCAAGTGCATATTGAAAAAATGAGTAATTGCATTTGAGTCAACCTGCAAGCACTGAAGTTAAGCACCGTTTAAGTGTTGCAGGATTAGGGTTTAAGCTTCCAATTATCCCTATTGCAGCTGTGCGAGATATACCCCAATGAATGCATTTGTCAT